ACGCCGCCGCAACATTCGCCCGTGGCCAGCTGACCGCGGTAGTTTTCTATTTCCAATATCTGCAGCTCGAAGAATCCAAGAGCCTGCGCGTCCTGTTCGCGTGCGCACATAGAAAAAAAAAAAACAAACATTTTATTACGTCGTATACACGAGGCTGCACAGTGTACGAAACATAATTAATAGTATAGCAAAGCGGAAAGCCGGCGAAAGTCTCGAGTCGTCGGAATAAAATACGTTGGCCGGCCGTCGGGAGCCGCGGCCGTACGCACGGTGTGAGGCAGTGACGGATCCGGAATGAGAACCCTGGGCACCTCGGCCCTCCCCAACCGGGTTATAGACTAAATGAAAGTTTTTACTTCCACGAATAATTGATATTTGGTCAGCGCACGCAATATAACAAAATGTTTCACACGTTTTCCACCGGAAATCTTACGCCGTTCAAAAAATCAGTTATCAACGGTCGTTTGATCGGTGCTCACGGATATTAATTAATTGATTTAAGAACCTTTATGCGTCCTATACCATCTCAACTACCCAACTACAACACATTTTGTACGCTTTTCGTTTAGCATTAATTTGTTTTAGGACGGTAACGTAAAACGGGTCGGAAAAAAAGAGGACAGAGAGCAGCACAGGGCGTATGCGGTGCAGCGACGCGGTAGATAGAATTTAAAAGTTTCACTTCCAAAGATAAGAAAACGATTTTCTCTTTATGATCCGAAACGTCTGTACGCCGAAAATTCACCTCGACAATAACCAAGGAACCTGACCTAACCGAAGAACCGGTCGCGGTGCTCGATACATTGTAAACGTTGCGACATCGGTTAATACCGTTGTATTCGTATTACACTCGTACACGCGAAAACCGATTTCGTGCCGTCGGTTTGAATATCAGAGCGTATTCTTCGCCTGCGATGAAGAACATAATACAATATAGTTCGTACGTTTTAATTTTCAATAGAGTTACGATCGACCGTGTGAAACGTGACGATAATTATTCTGAAATCGTCGCGTATCGCTTTGAAATTAAAAAATAAAACCAACGTACGAACGCATCAGTCAGTAATTACGCTCGCGCGGTTTAGGTTCGATAATCGCGGCCTACGCGCTCAGATATTGAAAGTGTTAACGGCGCGAAATCGGCTGACGCGGGGATCGGGACGCCTTCGGAAAACGCCTGCCACCAGTTCCCAATCCGAAATTGCTCAGCAAAAATGTTATCGGTCGCGTTCGTCGGCGCTGCGATGTGTTTTTTTTTTTTTTCTATCATCGCGGCCCTTTGAGCGTCACGGTTTCGTCACCCCCCCTAGGTGGAACGCCGCACGCCAAACGCTGGCCGGTCTCGACGTTGGCACAACACCGACCGCAACATACTGCGCACGGTGTACGCGACACGCGCACCGCGGTACTCGCCGCCGCCGCCGCCGTCAATACGTTACCAATACCTCTCCGCGCGTACGTACGTAACTAATAAGTAATAACCATCGCGTACACTGTACGGGACGCCGCCCGCGCTCTCGGACACCGCCGCACGTTACGATACATTATAACGATAATAATAATAATAACCCGGGCGCGCGTCTATTGTCGGACACGCGTTATTTTTCGTGACTGGCGGCGGCTGCGGCGGCGGAGGGAACTCCAAAACGATTGTTACGTGACGACGCGACAAATGGGTTCGAGCGCGCGCGCGATAATAATGGAAATTAAAATGATAAATGACCGGGCGATTTGTCTCCGGCCGGGACCGGTCGACCGGTCGACCGGCCGCGCGCTAAACGGACCGGAGTCGCGGTGTTATTATAATTTCTCGTACATACGGTCGTCGTCGCCGCCGCCGCCGCCTCAGTTATTATCATTATTATTATTATTATTATTATTACTATCGACTGTTACGGCGGCGGACCGGCCGATTTTTCACGTTCCCCTACACACGCATTGTGCGCGTACGCTCGAGCGCGCGGGCGGCCCGCTGGAAAACACATCGGTCCGCTGTTCGCCGCCGCCCGCATACGTGTGTGCGGTGTCGCGCAGAACGCGTGAGCGCGCGGAGTTCTAGCGACGGGCGGTTCGCGGTGGCGCGCCGATTCGCTCGAATCGGAAAGACCGACGGCGACGTCGAAATAACCGATTTGCCGAACGGCTGCGCGTGAGTCGATCCCCGGGTACACGAATCCGATCCCCTTATTGTCGTGCGCCGGCAAGCCTACGCCCTTTTGAGGCCCAGCAGAATTTATCGATCGCTTCGCAGACGAGCTGACGGCGGATCGATCGACAAATGACGTAATGACCGTAGAGTTTATGCGCCGCGTAATTGTGATAATTGTGTTCCGTCCCGGAACCGAGTTTTCCACCGAGAATTTAAGTATATGGGCTCGAATCGCCGCCACTGTGAACAGAACTACGAATAGCTCTGAGATAATTGTCATTCGAAACTAAACAGCTGTTCTTATAGCGGGCGCCGGAATACCCGTCAACCTATAGATATAATCTGTTAGCAGTGCAACAACAACCGGGGAATCAACTCGTGCATACCTACCCCTTAATGGCCCGGGAATCAACTAATACGGAAAGCAAGTCTCGGGAATCAACTCGACAACACCGCTCCGGAAAATCGATTAGGATAGATAACCAGCCGTTATCGTAACATCGAACGTTAAACCTGTGTCATCTAAGGGGGAAAAAATTAAGAGTAATGTTTCGCTTTTACGCCACGTTCTAACCATATTATGTAATCGGTTCTCTCAAATGATCGATCCAATGAATCGTTCGGAAATTCAGACGGACGTTTTCAATAACTGATCAATTATTACAACAACGAGATTTAAACGGGAGACGCGCGAAACTTTCGGGCCATATGCTGTAGGATTGACGTTGCCGAATGTTCGAAATTTAATAATCGATCGCCGCTATATTAATCGAAAACAGTAAAAATATGCTTTTACACGTTCGGTTCGCCCGTCACTGTAATAGACTACGGGGACTCGTGCATCACGTCGTCGCGTAGGTCGTAAAACACGCGCGCGGTTTCGGATAGAGAAAACACGTACCGACAGAACATCCCGTGTCCCCCTCACCCACCGTCCCCCAGCTCCACGTTCGCGTTTAACGGGTCACGCCCGCGAGCGCGTTTTCCACCCCGGAGATCGCGTGAACCTCAGCCGCCGTGCGCCGAACACGCGCGCGTACCTATCGCGGCGCGCGGTCCGTTATTCAATATCGGCATACCGCACGCACCGCGCCGTGCGCACGCGGTCTACTGCCGGTGGACGGGGCCCGGGTATTATTTTATTTTGTTCTCCTTTCTTTTGCAATCGGCCGTTATTACGTTACGCACGGCATTATTTTCCGCGCGCGTCGTACGCGAGAAGCGTTTACGCGGGGGGAAACGGGGGGAGGGGGGAAAAAAAACACGAAGAAATTCGCCTCTCTCGTCGTCGTCGTCGTCGTCGTCGTGCCGCGTGTGCGAGATTTTCGCGCGGCACGAAGACGCGGCCCGTATGACGGCGTTCAGGGCGTACACGACGGCCGACCCGCAAAAGGAACATTTTATCGCGGCGGCGGCGGCGGCGGTTATACGCTGCGCGCGGGCATTACGCGAGACGGACGGCGGCAACGCCGGGTTGCGTGCCGGCCGGTCAGCGTAACCACCGCGACCCGGTAGTATTATCGGTAAGCATGAGAAAATATAAAAAAAAAAACAAAACAAAACGTTCGCATGGGAAACCACCTCGTCCGACCCGCCGCCGTTTCGTACACGCGACGCGTACGCGCCCTAAACGCCCCCGCCTCGGCGCGTCCGTCACGACTCTCCGCCGCGGGCCGCGCCGGAGGACTCGGCGCGGGACTCTTGCGTACGCGGCGTACACGCGACCTACACGCACCACGAAACCGTTGACGGCAATGTTTCGAGCGAATTTCGCCGGCAGTCGCGGACGAAATGCTCGTGCACACGATTCGCGCCGGTTTCATCGACCGTTATTAGGTCGGCCTACGACGTTTTACCGCGACCGTTTTTTTCCGATTATCCGCGGCGCGTCGGTACGTATAGGAGGCGTGCGCGGCGCTTTTTCGCGGTGCGCGACGTCGCAGCGAAAACGGGCCGTTATTCCTCACCAAGCGGGTCTTATAATCCTCCCCCCGTACAGACAAGATTACGAATGCACAATAAACCGTCATAAAAATCGTATTATTTACCCATATACACCTACGCGTTTCACGAAAACATTATCGCGTGCATTTTAACGTAACACGTTATGGATGACCGTGCAACACAAATCATTACCCGATATCTTTCCGCGATAGATTGCATTACTTCGCTAGAAATTTAGAAAACTCGACACCGATAATTATCGGTACAATAATACGATAAACCTTGAACCCGACAATATCCGCGCAGCAAGCCGCGGTCGCCGGTCGGTTTATCGCGGTCACTCGGCGACGATAATATTGTTCACGTCCCACGGGGTAGCGTTTATAATATCGGCACGAGTGTAAATCTCGTGTTCGGCCTACGGGACCGCGGACGTCAATCGCGTTAAACACGTATCCCGTTCGGACGAGCGTACGCGGCCGGACGTACGTATGTACGCGGATTTTCCCCGGTTACCCGGCGGTTTTTCGCGCCCGTCACCTAAAACAAGCGATGAAAACGGCGTCGCGCGGCCACCGTTCGCGGCCCGTCGACGAACGCGTTCGTTTTACTGATCTCGCGTTTCGGGTCCGTGTGTCGTCGTTCCGGCCACATTTTCGGCTCGTTTTTCTATTTTTCCGCGTAAAATATACACGTACCGCGGAGGACCGCACGGAATACTACGGGTGTGCCATGCACGGACAATAACAATGCAAAGACCATGGGGACCACCGAAGACCGTGAAAAATCGCGTGCGTTATACCGAAAAACGTATACACGTATAATACATTATAAAATTGTATAATGTATCGCGTACGATATAATACGCGAGACGAAAGAAACATAATATATATATATATATATATATATATATATATATAGGTATACACGAGGAATATCGATCGCGCTCAGAGGTGGGGAGGGGGAGGGGAAACTCAATGACGTGTATAATAGGCGAGACGATAACGCGCATAATAGTAATACGCCGCCGTCGCCGCGTCCACTACTCTTCCGTCGTCGAGACCGCGTCGACGATATACGCACACACACACACACACACACTCGTATACGCGAGATAATAGAATAGACGGCCGAATACATTTTTTCGTCGTTATTATTATTATTGTTTTTTTTTTTTTTTTCCCGAGCCCGGCCCGAAGAATAATATAATAGACGGCGGCGGCTGCGCATAAAACACCGGAGAACTGGGCCGGGCTTACCGCCGCGGCGGTCCGTAAATATTATTTCGTCGGCGCCGATTGGGCGGAGCTTGCCGCGCGGCGGCGTGACGAGGCGTACACGCGGCGGCGGCGGCGAAAAGTTCCCGCACCGCGCCGCTGCGGCAGACCGCCAAAGTACGCGTATGGAACGTACCGATATGATAGGCGGCGAATTTTCGACCGGGAGAGGGGATTATTATTTTGTATAATAACGAGAATACAAAAACCGATACATTATTTTATTTACGGTCGCCGCGCCGCGTTTTCGTTTTGTTACGCGCCCGCGACCTCGAGACACCGCGGGAATTGACGAAAACCGCGAAAAGAGCCGCGGGATTTTTTTTTCGAATTCAAACGTACAAATTCGAACGTTTACGAAACATACTGCGGTATACGTGAAATTGCTATGTATGCAACGATCGTTGAATTTTTAAGCGCCCGACGGGGGGCGGAAATAACCCCTAATGATGACACTCGCCCGGCTTGGAGTGCACACATACTGACCGAACCGCGAATAACGCCAACGAAAATCGGAGTTTCCTGAATTGTGCGCTTGTACGATGTATACTTCGCACGAAAATCCAAAACCGAACACTCTTTTGCGTATAATGGAGTGCGAAAAATAACCCGATCAATACCGGGTGTTTTAGCTTCTAACGGAGCGTATTTCGGAGGGATTTCGAACTATATAACTATAAGTGCGCACCCAATTTGGTTTGAACGAGTACCTCTCTCTAAAAAAATGAAAAAAACAGTTTAATCCGCCACGCTGATTATGTTCTATGATGGCCGGCCGGTATAATATATAGTATCGATTAGATTTACATAGGCTTACATAGGGTTTACATAGGGTTAGGTCGCGGGGCTATTCCGAACAATTTCCGAATATCCGTCCATGGTATAAATATCATGCTCGAGTCGCGCGTATGAACGGCTTGAAAATATTTTTCGTGCGAAAATACCGGCTAATCGTCATAAATAATAAAAACGTATACGCGTATGTTTCGCGTGCAGTCGATATTTTAACAATAATAAATATATTTCAATATTCAACGAACAACGAACCGCAGACACCGGGCCGGCCCGAGGCCGCGGCACGTCCGTCAGCCGCTTTGGGCGTACAACGTTTCCGGAAAAAAAAAAAAAAAAAACGATCAACAAACCCGCCGTGTCCGAGATTTTGTGACGAGTTTCTAAACGCGCACACCTATTTAATATCAGTACGGCGCGCACATAATAACACGACGCGTGTGTACTCAGCTGCGGCACCGACGACGGCGGACAGGGTCTTCGTCGTTCCCCTCCGGTACATGTACTCGGTCGCGTAAAACAATACGGAACGATGACGCCGCGCAAGTTACTACGCGCGCACGACTCGTATTATCCCGCGACGTCGCGGGCCGGAAGACCCGCGAAAATCGGACCGCGAAATTCCTCCGGACTCGGACCGGCGACTATCCGTACGCCCGGGGCGGTCTTTGACGAATCTCTGACGTCTATGAACCGTCGCGCGCCCCGTAACGCTCGTGTAATACACGCGCGCGACGTCCGCGCTCGCGACGCGAACGAGAGCCGTTTAAAAATCGGCGTCGTATCTTCGCCCTCCGTCGGGTCGGCACGTTCCGCATCGAGCACCGCGCGTCGCGGTCGGGGCACACGCGAGCGCGCGGGCGAACGACGGCGCGCGGCGACCGCGATCCGCGCATCGTCGCCGTCACACGCGCGCAACGCGCGCGGGGGTTATCTTATACAGTAACGTCTTGTACAGTACGCGGTGTTGTAGCGCACGCACGGACGTTAATATTTATATGAGCGCGGCGGCGGCGGCGGCGGCTGCTCTAACAGAGCACTCTACGGCGTCCGCCATATTATAATAACGCCACTGCGCGCAACAGTGATATTACGCGCGTTACACACCGTATACGTACATAAATGTATATAAACGATAACAATACCCGCCTGTATACGGGACGGGCACGCTAATGACGGGACGGCTTTCGAACGGCGCGCGTAATGATGTCGCGGGCGGACGGACGCCCGCGCGCGCGGAGGAGACGAGTATAGTTGTCGGGAGACGGAAGAAAAAAAAAAAATTGTCCGCCGTCCGTTTGTTATTTGAAACTACGCGTACGTTCTGTGGTACGTACACGCGGTCCGTTTCGTTTGTAACGGAGACTGCTGCGGCGGCGGCGGGATAAACGACAATATTATTATAATGTTATCGAGGAGAAGTGACAACGGCCGCGCATTAAATTACGTCAAGTGTATCGCGGCGCGGTCAACAACGGTAGCCGCGGTACCCGACGACGTTACCGGGAGACCGTACCGTTTTCCGATACGCCTGTGTAACAGTACCGTACTGTTACGTCGTTTTGGCGCGCGACGTAACGTGCGTGTGAAACACGCGACGGTCGTTTTGATCGGACACGCGCGTCGTTGTGCGACGGGAATGCGTGGCCGCGGAAACGCGCCGCAATAATACGCCACGTTCCCTGCAACGTCGAACCGTTTTTTTTGTGATACGGCGGACGCCGCCGACAAGACTCGCTCTGGCGCCGGCACAAAACGGGTCTCGCGTCCAAACGAACCTTGTAAGCGAAGTGTAGAGCGGGCAGAATGTATTCGGATGTGTCCGGACCGTTCCGAGCGATTACTAGGCGAACAAACGACCGAACCATTGATCCGAGAGGGATATGAGAGCCGGTGTCCGCTGTGATACAGTGTACGCTGGCCGAACGGCCCGGTATTTCCCGAGGACTCGCGATCCCCGACGGGAATCGAGGTCCGTCCCTCCGGCGCTCCCTGCACCGTGGGATTTCGGAAACGTAACCGAGAGCCTTATGTTTCGCGCTATACTAGCGGCGATTCCCCGCGATAATTTCGCTTTTAGACTTTCCGAGTTACACCCGTTTTTTTGCGAAGACGCGCTGCGGAATTGGCTGCACCGCTACTTTGCGCGCTCTCGGGAATCGTCGATTTCGGACTTGTACAAACGAATTTCCGATGTAACGTGTCTTTCCGTTTCCGCACTTGTCCCTTAGGTCGATCGCTGTTCTTGTCCGGGGTGGTATTCGGAGCGTAGCGAGGAACGTATTGGTTTTACAATGATGTTTAGTTTTGTTTTTTTTTCTGTGAACGACTCTTCTACCGGAAATCTCGCTCCGGCGTGTCTAGTGTAGCACCGTTTCCGAAATTAACCAGTCGGTACTTTAAAGAGGTAATTTTTTGATTTATCAAGCGGGAGAAAAACCGGGAAAAACGTATAAAAGAAACTTCGCTCCGAATCGTTTTTCATTACCGACGGTTTATCGTCGCGTACGGATAAAAATTGAATTCCCTTCTATATTCTACCTTCCTAAATACTCGCCTATAACTGCGGCCCACCCGTCGTACAAAATATGTCCGTCTCTTTTCAGTTTTTAGTTTCCTATTATTGTGATAATCGTCGAATTAAATATGAATAACTGTTTTGTTTTTGTTTTTTTTTTTTTATATATATATATATATATATATATAACACTCAAAGCGAGAAAAAAAGAAATCAAACTCAATTTTCGTTCCGAAAATATCCCGATAACCCCGCGTCGGTCTTACTTCAGGGGTTGAGTTTCACGATGAAAAGTATATACGACGATGATCTTCCTCTTTGAAATGGCGTGTGTGCAACGTTTCGTCGGAATTCAAAACGGTAGATTTGTATGTATAATAGCGAACAAACATATTATAGGTGGGTTCCCGCAGCAGTGGCGTATTTACGATGTCCTTCTGCAGTGTTAGGTGACGATCGAATAAAAGAACGGGGGGGNGGGGGGGGGGGGCGTCACGGGATCTCTACGGCCGACCTGCTTGTTATTCTTCTCATTCTTGTATTCCTATAGGGATGAAGGACGCCGGACACTCGTGAAGAACCCGTGTGCGCGAGGAGGAAAAATGGTCTGCGGCGCAGGATAGGCGGAGGGGTTTGGTGTATAACCCGTATCGCCGGCGTGTAAATATACGCCGCTCAGACGTAATACGTACGGAATTCGAATTTTACATACGATACTATAACAACATTATAAACGTTCGCGAGAAAAAAAATTGCTGGGTACACATACCGGCCACCCGTATACACGCGTACATACGTATTATACAGGTAGAGTAGATAATATTATTGAAACGCGATCGAACCGGCCAGTGAATTATTATAATACGCACGAGGAGTTGACTAGCGTATTTTACGTGTGTGTGTGTGTTATTTATAAACGTTTTATCGAAATATTATCATTATTATTATAATAATTATCGAGCGGCGGCGGCCGCGGTAAAATATACGCGACACGGATAGGTTTCGCGCGAAAACGACACGCAAAGGCAGTGAAAAAACGCCCGTCAATAATTATACACGCGTATGCCCGGTATGAACTGGCGTACACGGCAGCGCGGGATACACATAGCGGGTATTATACACCTATGTATTCCGGGATAGCGGATGAAATTCACGCGAGATTTTTTTTTTTTCTCTTCTCCATACATATTATTATAAACATTATAATAATATAATATACGCAGTGGTCTAGAGGTGCGTCGAAACCGCTCTCACAGTCGTCGTCGTCGCCGTCGTCGCGGCCGTGCAGTCGTCGTACACGCCGCGTGCGTGCCGTATACACCTATCCGTCTATCCCGTCCTATACCTACGCACAACGACGACTACGACGATAATAATAATAATAATAGTACACGAGCAACGAAAACTTAATGGTATGCGGCGCGCGAACGTATCCCCGTACGAAAAAAAAAAACTCGGCCGGATCGGCGGCGCCGCGGCGTGTAATTAAATAGGTGTACACCATTTTGTTATGTACAAATTGGATAATGCGCGTACGCCGCGGCGGCCCGCGATCCGCGCGGCGGGTACGCGCGCGTTTATAACGCACGCCGGAGCTGTTACAATGTACCGCCGACGCCGTGCTCCGGGCCGACCGCACGAAAACGAAAAAAACGAAAATCAGAAAAAAAAAAAAAAAAAATGTTTCGGTTTTTGTTTTTGTTTTTCTGGAAATCGTATTCCCCTGCGTTACGTACCCGGGGCCTGTATACACCGGCGACCGGAGCGCACGACGGGACGCGTGAAGTAGTCTACAGAAACCCGAAAATAATATACACGCTACACACTCGTGTGCACGTGTACAGGTAACCGCGACTGTCCCGAAAAACCGTACAACGCGTAATGTTTAAGAGCGGGTCCCGGATAAACGGCCGACGACGTGCGTGCATATTGTATAGTATTAGGTAGCGAAATTACACGTGCAATATCGCAGAACACCGTAACGTTGAACCGTCGTGACGTTTACGGGCGGAAGTCGGAACGCACGCGGCGCTTTCAAACGGCAATTTAAAATTTGTATTTTTTAACCGTTGTTATTACTTAAGAGGTTACCGGTAATGATTTCATTTCACGCACATTTTTAACCGTATGCGACTACCTAGATACTTTACTTTTAAATTTATCAATCCTAACCCTATTCGACCGGCATTAGTGGAGAACATGAACGGACACCGATTCGGTTACACACCCACAGCCACACCGTGTATGTTTTGGTTTGGTTTTTTTGTCGTGCAACTTCTTTTTCGTGAGGCAATTTTTCGAAAAAAAAAAAAAGAAAAAAAAGCGAACGTACGGCTCTCGAAAATTCGAAAATATTCTCTGTTTGAAATTTCGTATTTGCATTTCGACTCCGATTTTTACTTAAATGTCACAATCAGTGTTCTATAAGTAACGTAATAATTATGTTCTGTTGTCGGCCGTTACATAGTTTAGACAGTGTATAATATATATATATATTATTTTACTTAGGTGTATTTTTTAATGAAATGGTCTAAACTCGCATTCGTTTTATTAAAAATATCGTGGGTGAGGATGGGGGGGGGAAGTGCAGTTTATTTTGAAACCCTATTAACATATAATATTTTTATAAACAAATGCGTGCGTGCGCGTGTGTGGGAAAAAAAAAAACACCGTGGAAGCCTTGGCTCGCGATGGATTTCCTGAAAGTTTGAAGGAACGCCTTTTAATTTAAAATTTTAATTTTCAGTAAATATA